AAGAATGTCCCATCCAAAGGCACCGGTTGATCAGAGAGAAAGGCGCCTCGATCGGGCATCATTTCAAACATTTCTTCTACATACAGTTTCCGTTGCTCATCCGAAGTTTCATCGATGCTGCGTATTTTATGGTCGGCGGGCTAAAGTGAGTAAAAATTAATAATTATTCAAGTAAGGAAAGTACCAAATAATGAAAGAGGAATTGAAAACACACCTCACTACTTAAATGGCATGCCAAATTAGCAAACATATTTATCGTTAAGGTTTTAGCTAGCATATGTGTAGGTTTGTTCGTCGAGCAAAAAATTTGTACGAATTTGTACGAATTATCACGATTTTTGCCCAAATTGCGTTCGTGCAGACCAAAAAATTATCCAACACTCAAAAATTGTGAGAGCAAAGTGACAGTTCTCTTGGAGAGAAGTTGCAAATTCTTGCTGGAAAAAATTTTGCCAGCAAGAATTTGCAAACACGAAAAACATGTGGCTGTGGCGCATGGTTGCATTTTTGTCTACAATAATTTGAATAAATTAGTTCGTTAAATTTAAAAATTTATAAACACGAGCGATTTTTTTATGAAAAAAGGAAGTAAATAGTAGTTGATATAATTAATTTAGTTAATTCCAATGATTTGAACTTAATTCGGCTGAAAAAAATGGTATTCGCAATCGGAATGCAATTGCAACCAGCGTCGATTTAAGAAACCCGACAGCTAGTACGATGAAGAAATTGAAATGTATGTTAAAGAAAGTCAGAATAACAAGAAATATACATGTATATCCTGTTTTTGGCCATCCGAAAGAATTTTAAAAATTCTATAAAAATTTTTTATGTTTGAAATGCAACCGTGGACGCCAGCTGGCAGCGAAACTTGCAAATTCCTGCAAATTTCCGTTCGTGCAGAAATTTGCAAGTTTCTCAACATGAGAGAGAATTTGAGAGAATTTTTTCTTACTCTCTGATATTTTGAGTGTTGGATAATTCTTGCTGGATTTTCGACGAACAAACCTTGTGTATTGTATGTGCGTATTTTACTTACCAGCAAGTATCGTAACTTTTGCAAAGGAACGTTTGGCTGCGGTACTTTGTTAAAAGGTTCTGAGCTAAAAATTCCACACTTCCAACAATTGACGAAGTAATCCATAAAATCTAACCGCAATTTTAAATCCTCTAAGGATGAATTTTCCTTTTTCAGCTTTCTGATCCATTCGGTAGCAATGGACTTCTCACGGAAATTCAAACGCTGAACAACACATTCTAATTCTTGTAGTAGACAATCGAATTCCTTGCTTAGCTCCCCCACTTCAGACATTGGTCAAGTTCGAGTTTCGCTGGGTATGTAATTTATGTATATATGTTTAAAAATAATAATTTAAAAATTCAAACTGATTTTCATTTACTTACATAAATACATAAATATTTGTCATTTGAATTTGAAAGAAGAGTGTTGGGAAGCAAACGCTTTCAATCCACTTGCTATATTTGTACAAAGCTTGCTTGCGTACAATGGCGTAGATCGGATTGTTCATTCATGGGTAACGCTCGGATCTATACTTTTTTTGCAGTATCATCTATATATTTTTTTTTGATTTCAAATATGGATACTGATTCTTTCCACAAAATATTGCACCCATACGAAAAAATATTTGACTTACATACATACATACAATCATGTGAAACAATTGAGACACGCTAGTCTAGTTAACCCTTTCAGTACAATCGTCCAATATATTGGACAAACTTTTTTTGTACTTAAAGCTCTTTTTTTCTTAAATAAGAGCTTTTGTTTTAAAAATGACAGTTGTTTTGAGAAAAGTATATTATTCTTATGTATCGTATTTCTTTTATTGTATGTATTTTCGGGATGCAGTTGACCGTGATTTTTCACAAAAGAGAAAAGTGTCACAAAAAGCGATATTGAGTAGTGTAATATGTATGAACAAATTCATGTTTTTTCGGTGGAATTTATATCCGAAAAAAGTGTTAAATATTTTTCTCAGTTTTGAAAAAGGAAAAAAGAAAAATTATTGATATCACTTTCCTGTTTACAAATCTAGAGTAGCTCTGTCCAATATAATGGACGCTGAATAACGGTAAAACTAAGATTTTTACAAAATTTTTGATGGTATTTTTGAAATCAATGGCCAAAAAGTAGCCGGTAAAAAAATTTTCCGAATTTTAGTATCAGCGGCCGATTTTTTGCTCCGAGAGGGTTAATAATATAATACCACCATATAAATACAGACTTCAAGCTCTGTAAAGGAATTCATGAAATTTTCACATACTTATAATTATAATTTTTATAAAAATTCGAAGTATCCTGTATAAAATTATAATAATAAATTGCTAAGAATTCGTCTTAATATTTGATAATTTCCGGTGTTATTTTTTCTTCCATACAAAAAAAAATATGTCGAGCTTAGCAACATTATATGGAAGGAAATGCGTGACGCTGTAAGCAAACCAAAAAACCAAAAATAAACTTAAAGCTAGTGAATCGTCGTTATTCAACTTTGTAGAATTTTTTCTTAATCTTGTACAAAGTTAGAAATATGGATTTTGGTGGCTTTTGTTAGGCCGTATCATTTTGTTGCGAGGGTATAAAACAGGCACACATGGTACCAGAAATTCCTTTATTTTATTGAAAAACTGCTTTAAAAAAGACTGATAGATAGAGATACTGCGCAACGGAATTTTTTAGCAGGATTATTCAGTTTTTCGTCCCAAAAAAGGCACGAGCGTTATTCATTGGTAACACAGTATATACAGTAATACACCTTTTTGAGTATTCCTCGGGGTAGATTTTTTGATAAAGAGAAGGAGCATGAATTTTGCTGATTCAGAGTTGCATACAAAATTACTGTGGTATGAAAGGGAGCAACAACCGTACTATGGCAGAGTGGCACAGGTAGTTTTGCAAACAAACACTTTTCTTATAATTTTAGAAATAACCGCTATTTATTTTCCAATATTCAGATATCCAGCTTGTAGCCACAGGAAGTGGCATATGAGGCTCACTTAAATCTACTCATCATGTTGGAACAGCTCCGGGTAATGGACCATTGGATGTGTTGGCTGAACTTATGACCTGAATTTATACGGTAGCAATTCATAGCAATTGCTATTGTATGTGTGTATGGTTAACATTTGTGACATTGTACACTTTGATGTTAAGTATTTTTGAGGAGTTCCGCTCAAACTTGGGTGTGCTTAATGAGCGGTCTGGGCGGATGCGGTGGCAGGCATTGGAGTCTCTTTGCATATAGACTCATATTCGGAAAGTAAGAATTTTCTTTGATAAATTCGTGAGAATACGATGTGAGTCTCCAGTTTATAGAAACACAAGCGTTAATTATGTACTTAACTATTGATATTATTCTTAATTAAGCATTGGTACTATATTTAACCTATATTTTGTTCAAAAATAACACAATCATATATATTTTATCCTCGGAAAGACCTTTTTCTAATCATGAGGAAAAATTCCCCACAGTAGTGTTGCCGTGCGCGCAAAACGAAAACTCTGCACACAACCCAAAAGTCCCTTGGGGACCAATTGTTGAAAAACTGCGAAAAACTTTATTACTGTATACTATACCGTAATGGGTAACATCGAGACTGACGCCACAAATCAGAGCAGAAACTAAAGCAGTGTTTGCATTGTTCAACTTTGCGTTCAACTCAACGCAGGGTTGCACGAAAAAAAGTTAAATGGCTAAAGCCGTTCAACCAAATGTTGAATGTAAATTTAAACAATACAAACACATTTTAACGGCAAATATTTTGATATTTTTAGCCATTGAACTTTTTCCGTGCAACCCTGCGTTGAGTTGAACGCAAATGTCAACGAAAATCTCTTCTCTGTGCCGCCATGATAACGTTTTTCTGCTATAATAAGCAATTTAAATATAATTTAACTTAATATTTTATTATACCCGAGCACACTTGTGCATAAGGGTATTATAACTTTGTTCACATAACGGTGAAGTGAAGAAGAAGTGTTTTTCTTGCACATGGAAAAGTATATCGACTAGCCTACAACAATATCAACATATAACAAAAAACTCGTTCAAAAACTTACAAACAAAGTTTGTCTCTTTATCAAACGATGTTGGTGTATAAATGCATAGATTTCATGAAAATTACACCTTGACAGTTTGCCAGGTGGTCGCTTTTGCTACGAACACATAAAAAGCAAATGAACACAATAGACGAGGTAAGAATGAAACGTAACTAGCCATATAAGTTAAATAATAAACAATTTTATCCAATTGTTTACCAAGGTGCATTCATGTAAGAATGCGGGTAAACTGATACATTAAGCAATTTATCCCTTTATCACTTTTTATGAACGCCCCTATTAATGCAGATTACTTGATTATCGAATTTTTACCATCGATTAAAAAGCGACAACTGTAACGGGAACCCGGCAACTCTATCAAAATCGAAATAGCTTGTGGTTTGTTTACATTTTTCATTGCGCTGGATAACATCGTACTCGTATTGTTTAAACAAAATACTAATTTAGATTAGAATCATGGCATCTGTAAAACAATTACTGGTTTTTATGCTATCGTTGGTCGCTTTTGCGTATACATTTTATGTTGTAGGATCTTTGATGTTTTTCTTGTCGCGTCCTAGAAACGTTCCGAAAATATATGTTTGGGTGTTTAACTTGCTGGACAACAAGTCTCGCTTGGAGACAAGTTACGGACCAATGCTGTTTGACACTCTCTACATAATTGGATTTATATTACAACATAGTTGTATGAAATCTGACCTTGTAAAAAGTATTTTGGACAAAGTTGGATTGGCCGCAGCAGAACGCTCAATATACTGTCTTACGTCATCGTTAAGTTTACATGTATGCATGATATCATACGCTTATCTATTTTTGTTATTTATGTTAATCCATGCATATGTATATATATATGTATCTATTTGTTTACAAATTTTGTACGCAGTACCTTATACGACATTGGTTGCCTGCTCAATCCATAGTCCTTTGGCAGGTGGATGTGGCGTCTAGTAATGTGTTGTGGTGGACATTTTCTTTAGTACATGGATTTGCTTGGATGATAATATATGGAGGCAGTATTATAATGGATCTGCCAGAAATATTGGGAGTGAAGCAGGTATTGGCCATAGCTTTATGATGGGTTAAAAATTATACTCACATTTTTAACCATTTTAGGCTTATTATGACTTGAAGGATTACGCGCAGCCAATCGCATACAAATCGTTCAGATTGCGCCATTTGTACAGCCATGTACGACATCCATCATTTGTTGGCTTAAGCGTAATCTTGTGGGCCACAAACCTTATGACCATAGATAGATTCTTGTTGGCATTGCTACTGACGACTTATATGTTCCTTGCTTGGTCAACCGATCGTAATGACGTAGTTTATCAACGCAACCAGTTTCAACGCAAAGTACAGGAGCTCAAAAACGATTAATGAGGAGATCGCACACATATCCTACGACATATTCGATTAAAGTAGTCTCGAGCACAAATTCATTATTTCTATCACATCTATTTATAATCATAATCTTACAAGACTTAATATAGTATTTATGCACATTTACGTTTTTATACTAACAAAATAAAGGTCTCTGATATAATTAGCTGAATTTAACCATAGATGCATCAAACGGCTGTCCTTTGAATGGTGATCCTTCTGCATCCCATGCTGTGCGTAATCGCTCAATAGTGCTTCCACCGTCAGTTGTCACATGTTCTGTATTTAAACTGTCCTGCTCCATTTGCTGAACTCGCAATTTTTGTATTGCCGCTTGTGAGTCTTCGGGTAATTCATCTATGTATCGTTCACAATCTATTTTCTTGGAATCTAACGGATCTTCTGTGGTGAAGAACTTTTCCCACCATATTTCTTTATTTTTATCTGAAATATTTATTACCTTTATTAAACAATTTATTCAAATATAAACACTACTTATGTTCGCTACTTACCTAAACTTATTGTTAGTTTTCCTTCTGTTATAGTCCACACAGCATCGTTGTGCTTAAATCGGTTGCTAATCTGACCATTTATGAGAATTTCGGCGGGATTAGCTCGACTCCGCACGGAAATCAGATCAGGCTTTATATCAATGCATATCGATTTAGCACTATTTAATTCTGCTGGCAATTTAACATGTAGTTCCACTTCACTCAATGTCTGCGACCAACAGTACTTTGCAAAGCATGAGCCGTTCTTGTAGTCTGTGGGTACAAACTCCGAGTTTTGAGATTTCTTTTGTGTTGCCTTAGTTTTGATGTCTATTGCTGGGTGCATTGAATTTGAAGCTTCTTCGGAATCCATCTGTACTTCATCCGTCTCTACTTCAACTTCTTCCACGGCTGGTGGCGCAAACATGCCATCAACTTCCGTGTTTTCAGCCGTCAGATTGTTCAACTTACATTCTGGATCATAGCGTTGCATAGCACCGAAAAGAATTTGCTCACGCAAACCTTTAGCAAAACCAATTTTTTCATTTGGGTCCTTTTTAATATAGTAGAAGTCGGTACTAAAAAAATAAAAGGATTTAAATTTTTTATTAGTTTGTTAGCTGTGAATATAAGCTTACTTTCTTCGCAGGAATCCAAAAACGGCATCAAGAAACCCAGTTACTGTTTTTCTTTGCTGTAGAATTTCCATAAATATTGCGTCTGTGCGTAAGCAATCCATTGTAGACTCGTTTTTAGATGTGTTTTGGAATACGTGAATCTTTTATACAAAAGTGACGAATAGCGTGAAGTGTTCGATTTTTTGGGTAAATAAAAATATTAACAGCGAGTGTTGCCAGGGTTTTCCATTACAAGCTGGGATTTCCCATACAACAGTTACTCGCCTGGAGAAACTGAAACGTATTTTCTTTTAGCAAAGAACGTAAAATTTCTTTATACTTTGGTACCTTATTAAGTATGTGCCACTGATTTAAAAAAAATATAGTTTATTCTTTAACAACCAATTTATCAATGCAAGTTCGGTTCTATTCTGTTATCCCCACCCTACCAAATGTGCTCAAAAATTATTATGAATTGCTTAGTAGAAAATATATCTGTTAACTGTTTCCAAAAAGAGTTCTCCTCGAAAAGAGTGCGGGCAGGGTAGTTTGAATCATGATAAAAATATAGCAAGGTAGAACCGTTCTCTCAATTTGTCGGCCATGATTTTTTTTTTGAAGTTTGCCAACATTTTAAAATCATATAAAAGTGAAAATAAAAAAATGAAATTGTTCGAAATTGTTGTTGCTGGAGATTGAAAAAGAAAATGTGTGTGTGAGTTTGTGAGTAAATTTAAAAATTAAATTGTTTGGAAACGTCAAGAATTTTAAAAGGGACTCTCAGCGGTTCTATCTTACTATATTTTTATCATGGTTTGAATTGAACCGATGTGGGCTATTTTTTTGAAGCGGCGCCGAATACCATCATTTGCAAAACTGTGTACACAAATAAATAAAAAAAAAATCTCATTAAAAAGCATGGTGAAATTATGCCAGGTGTGGTAATAAAACAGCTTTCTCGCTCTATTTTCCTAGTTTTCTTGACGTTCAGCTATCTTATAGAATTTTTTTCAAGCAAATTTTAAAATTAGATAGTGCCAAATCTTTTTTATCGCTCTTATTACTATACCTGGTATCATTTCAGAATGATTAAAAGTTGAAAATCTTATGCAATTGCTTTTCACACTGCAGAAAAAAATGTTTGGAAACTCATCATAACATTTTTTTTCAAATGGAATGCAAAAAAGACTAACCGCCGTGTACACCCTGCAAATTTTCACCCGTTCATCGTAATTAAATAATGCAGCATGCTCTTAGGCGTACTCATCATGCCCGTGCTGGTATATGGCGCGGAAGCATTGACAATAACAACATCCAAATGAAGCGGCTCTTGTAGTATTCGAGAAAAAGATATTGCGAAAGATTTACGGGCCTTTACGCGTTGACGATGGCGAATACCGAAGGCGATGGAACGATGAGCTGTGTGAGTATGGACATAGAGCAGCGAATTAAAATAGCGCCGACGGGTTGGAACCCGCTGGTGGAACAGAGGAAGAGAGAGACCCCCACTGCGTTAGAAAGACCAAGTATAGAAGGACTTGGCTTCACTTGGCATTTCCAATTGGCGTTCGTGGGCTCAGAAGAGAAACGACTGGCGTGCTTTTTTCTAAAATCTAAAATCGCTTAGACGGTGATATAAAAATTCATAAGATTTCCAAAAAATTTCCCAATCCAAAAACAAATGATCAGCTAAATTTAACATCTCTATTCCCAAGCCAATGACAAAACTCAACTGCTGACTATTGTCTTTGCTACTGCGCCTAAAACTATGCCGCAACTTGGTTTTAAGCGCTCTAATGATGACAACTGTCATTGTTATCGTTATGACACACTGAGTGCGTGACAATGACGAAGCAATGTTGCAGGCGCAGTAATTGTGACAATAGTCATACGAAAAATTTTGTCAATGATATATGATATGTATGTATATATAGCAAGTGCGCCGTCACATACCGCGCGCACACTTTGAACCGAAGCATGCATGCTGGCCCAATACGAGCATTTAGAACATAAATAACTTCTATTTGAATGCGTTATGAAGTAAAGATTTTTCTTGGAATATATAAAGCTCACATAATTTACTTACGTCAGCCCCAAAAAAATGAACACGTTATTTGTTTACTAAGGCTAAAATTCTATATTTTTGAAGCAACCAAGTCCGAGTGGGTACGCATGTTGTTGCTGTTTTCACTTGGCTTCTGTTACTTTCGCATAGTCAATTTGCCGAAAAAACTTGCCGGTGTTTTCAATGTAGTGGGGCGCGTGCTTTTTGAAAATTTTGAGCATCGCTGTTTTGAGATGTCCACACTTTTGCTCGCTACTGCACATAGCATGTATGTATGTATGTATGTATGGGATAGTTCTGCTGGCAGCATTGGGTGCATGGAAACGAAAGACTTAAGCAACAAACTGTTTTGTATAGTAAAAAATAAAAGACTTACTGAAGTATTTTTAAATTTAAAGAAATTTTTTACTTTAGTTTTACAATAATTTGTACATAAATACTAAAATATACATATTTATTAAAGTTACTTTATATGTATGTACATATGTAGTTAAATAATGTCGACGCTGGTTGAAGGCACGCACATTAATGTTTTATAATATCGCGATCTTTTAGTATTTAAATTGGTTCTAGAATAATTTTTACTAATATTTGTATAAACTATGTTATTTACATTCTATTCAATAATAAAAAATGGCAACAATTTTGCTTAATAACTTATAAATCCTAACCATTTGATTTATATAACAATATCAAAAATTTATGTTTTTATTGTCGAATCGATGGAGCACTCATTATTGCAATTTCACAGCTTGCGAAAATTACTTAGCTTAGTTGAAAACACTTTAAAGCGTTTATTTAACAATATGAAAAATACATACATACATATGTATGTATTGATGTGCATGTATGTACATATGTAGGTTTTTTGCCTGCTTTATAATACTTGTCTTTGCAATAAATTAGTATTTTATTATGTTTGAAACAGTAACTTAAAATATCACGGATTCAATTAGAATGTTTGTGTAATATCGCTAATGCAGCAGCGGCGCTCATTTGAAGAAGGTGGCAATGATCTCCGAGAGTGAGGTGGATGTGCCGATTATCAGGCCGAGTATGCCGACAATTATGAGCACAAAATTGCTGACCAGGAGCCATACTTTGGCCACACCTTCCCGGTGATACCAATGAGTGCAGATTTGAATAAGTGCTGGGAAAGCCAGACCGAGCGCTGAGAGGCAGAGCGCGCCGAAAAGTGAAATGAAGAGTTCCAGATTGGGTACGGCAACGGCTAAAAGGACTGCGAAAAGGAACGAAAAAATCATATTAAAAAATGTGAAAAAGTGGTGTCTTAGTAACACAGCTAAATAGGTGGACTTACATGTCACCAGAACTATGGACGTCCGCACTACGTATTCCCAGAAAAGTTTCTTTCGTTGAGGTCCTAAATGCTGCGCCACGTAATCATTCCATGTGATATCAATGGCCACATAGCACGCCAACCCGTGTGTGATGTATATCGCAAACGCCAGCATTCCCTTTACACATTGGGCCAAACTGTTCGCAAGATAGATTTTATAAACACAAACTCAAAACTCAAAAAAAAAAACTAAAATGCATTAAATCTCCTTACATATCTTTCGATGGTAGATTCAATGTAATTGATCCCTCAACTTCACTGCCATAATTCAAGTAGCCGAAGAGACCCATTCCCGTGTAAAGGAACACAATCAGCACCATCGCTACGTTGAGCACACCGCAGCTGCCGCCGAACTTTTTCGGCGTTTTCATTTCATTCTCCAACGGCAGAATGATGCCAATGGCCTCGAGTGCAAACAGCACCGTACCGAAGAAAAGTGGAAAGCCAGCAAAAGGCGCCACAGCTACCTTGTCGTCGGTGGTGAAGGGCTCCCGGAATATATAGTAGCAGATGATGCCGAAAGACACCATGGTGATGCCGTTGGCGATGGTGGAAAATGGCGCTAGATATTTCAGATTGCGGACCTGTGAAATAGAAATCTCATAAGTAACGGAACAACTTAATACTAGTTAATAAATCGTTTTGGAAACTTACCCAATTGATTAGAATCAGCGGCAGCAGAATGATCACCATGCATAGTCGTAAATCGACAGGCTCCTCCAAATAAAAATCAACAATGGACTTAATATTTGAGGCAACGAAAACGACGTAAACACAACAGCAGCCCAGTTGATAGATCAGCAGAAAAGTGTTGACGATGTGCCCAATATAGGGTGCCAGTTTGCGAAAGAAGGGCGGGCCCTCCATTAACGCATTCTCTGCAACGCCGGGATAGTTCATGCTGGGCACCTTAGGGTGGGAGGAAAAACAATTGATGATAAAGATATTAAACGTACTATGAACAGCTGTCTGTGTGAGACTATTTTTTTTTTTTCAAACCTTTTTCCGCCGGCATAGTTCGTACTCGGCTTTAACGAGCTGATGAATGCAGTATGTGCAGATGAAGCCAATGACAACGGTACCTATGGTACCTGTTATGTAGCCAGCATTGCGAAAAGCATTCGGCATAGCCAGAATACCGGTGCCCAAAGAACCCTTCAGCAGGTGAAAGAGCGTCTCCGAATTGCTGTGTGTATGAAATAAAAACAAAAAAAAAACGATGCATTTCTTAGGGAAAAAATCTAACCTTCTAGTTATTTAAGCACTTTGACGGTACGTAAATACTTTCGCATTTTTGATTTTTTCCACTTAAAATATTCATTATACTCACGTCGTTGGATGCTCCACCTCACGATTTTCATAGGGATTGTATTCATACGCGGCAGCATCCTTCGACGCCACTACACTCGCTGACTTGGCACCACCCTTTTCAGCTAACTCCAGTGAATATTTGTTGGCCGGCTTGTCGCTGACAATACTGTCGCCAATAAATGTCGGATTGCTGTGTCCATTTTTGCTCATCGTAAAATCGCTGGTTGAACGTTCGAGGAGCACACTTTAATAAGCGAACCACAAATCCACACTCCTCTCTCACAGACAGATCAATTTGATTTAGTATGTAGCTAAAATTAGCAGACTACACAAATTTACAGAATTAACAAATGAGCGAGAGCGAGCTTGAGAAGTGGTTAAAAAAAAGAACACAATAAATTTGCTTGAAATTGTTCGCGCGTTTTTTCACTTAATTGTCGCTAAGAAAAACTAAAATATAGCAGATATTTGGATGCA